TAACGTTAAAAAAGTTCAGTGTTAGATTGTGCTTGCTCATTTATCTCTGTCCTTCACTTTTTCAGCATTTGATTTTTTTAAAAAAAATCTGAAGATTATACCTTTCTAATTGTTTGTGAAATTAGCTATTTAAAAAAATTAACCTTGTATTAAATTATAACAAAAATATAGAAAAGCGCATGCAGTAGCTGTTATGGACTGAATATTTGTGTCCCCCCTCCCCCAAATTCATATGTTGATGCTCCAATCCCTGGTGTGGCTATATTTGGAGATGGGGCCTCTAAGAAAGTAATTCAGGCTAAATGAGGTCAAAATGGTGGGGCTCTGATTATATAGGATTAGTGACCTTAAAAGAAGAGATGCTAGAGAGGGCTCTCTCTCTCTGTTCCTGTGTCTCTCTATGCAGACACGTGCACTGAGGGAAGGCCATGTGAGCACAAAGCAAGAAGGCAGCCATCTGCAACCCAAGGAAAGAGCCCTTACCACCAGAAACCAATCCTGCTGGCACCTTGATCTTGGACTAACCAGCCTCTAGAACTGTGAGAAAATAAATTTCGGCTGTTTAAGCTGCCCAGTCTGTGATATTTTGTAACTGCTGCCCAAGATTAATACATTAGCCAAACTTGAAAATGGTATCCAATGATTCTTGCTTCCTGCTATTCGTTCCCTTGAATATAGCTGACCATTTAATCTAACAGAATATTGCAGAAACGTTGGCATGTAGCTCCAAGAGTAGGTTAAAAAAAAGAAGAAAAAAGTGTGCTCTCTTGTACCACTTGCTCCAGGACAAGACAGTCACAATGTTGTGAGGATATTCAAGCAACCCTATAGAGAGGACTACGTGGCAAGGAACTGAGATGTCCTGCCGACAGCTTACATCAAGGCACAAGTGAGCTACCTTGGAAGTAGATTTTCCAGGCTCCATAGAACCTTCTGAGATGACTACACACCAGGCCAACACTTTGACTGCAACCTCATGAAAGACCCCAAACAAGAAGCATCCAGCTAACATCTCCCAAACCCCTGACCCACAGAAATTGTGCAAGAAATGTTTATTGTCCTTTTAATACAGTAAATTTTAGATTAGTGTGTTATGTAACAATAGATAACATAGCATGCAAAGCAGAAGTGAATTATTACAAACCTAACATGATAAAGGAAATAAATATTTCAAGTATTCTAGAAGCCCCCTACGTGCTGCCTCCTAAGCACTATGTGCTCCTACCTCAAAGATAATCACCGTCCTAAGTTTTAATACTATAGAAATTAACAGAAGTGGAACTATACAAAATGTATTCTTTTGTGTATGACTTCTTAGGGAGATTTATGCATGTGGTTTCACTTAACAGTACTTGTCTATTTCCACTGTTGTATACTATTTGACTGTATGAATATACCACAATTTATTTTTTGATTCTAGCATTGAGGGACATTTGGACTGCTTCCATTTGGGGGTATTATGAATAATAGTACTATAAACATCCTTGTATATGTCTTTTGACACACAAATATATGGATTTATGTTTGGTATTTATAAGAAGCTCATTGGGATTTTGACTGTGGGGAGGGTTGTAGAATCCACAGGTCAATTTTTAAAAATGTGACATCTTTACAATATTAAATATTCCAGTCTAAGAACATGATATATACCTCCATTTATTCAGGTTATACTTTAAATAATATTTTGTAATTTTCTGCATAAAGATACATACAATTTTTGGTAGATTTATTCCTAAGAATTTGGTTTCAATACAAGTGTAAATTGTACCATCTTTTCAAAATTTTATCTTATTGATTGGTTGCTGGAATAAGAATAAAATTGATTTTGGATATTGACCCTTTATCCAGCAATACTGGTAAATTCATGCATTGTTTCTAATAATGCACAGATGATTTTGCATTTTCTATAAGTACAGTTGCTGTGGATTGATTGATTTGTATCCCCCATATATTAGAAACTTAATTCCCACTTTAACTGTTGAGGGTGGGAAATCCTGTTATGGTAATGGAAAGGTGGGGCCTTGAAGGGGTGATCAGATTGTAGGACCATACCATAGTGAATGGATTAATAATAATGGTGGTCAGCAGTGTGGTTCTGAGGGCTTTAAAAAGAGAACACGTGAGAATCTCTCTCTCTCTGCTCTGCCATTTTCTGCCACGTGAGATCCCTGTGTTGCTGAAAAGCCACCATCAAGGAAGACCCTCACCAGATTTGTTCCCTGGACTTTGGATTTCCCAGCCTCCAAAACTGTAAGCAATAAATTTTCTTTTCTTACAAATCACTCAGTTCCAGGTATTGTGTTATAAGCAATAGGAATAGACTAATACAACAGTCACGTTGTCTATAAAGAAAGATAGTGTTTAGTCCTCCTTACAAATCTTTAGATATTTTTTCTTCGCTTATTGTACCAAGTAGAATTCTCGTAAAATGCTACTTAAAAAATAGAAAATAGGCAATCTTGTCTCATTCACAATTTCAAAGGGAAAGCCTTTAACGGTTCACCAAGAAGTATAAAGTTTCTGGAAGATTTTTTTGTACCCTTAGCAGAAGAGTAATGATGTTCTCTTCTAGTCCTTGTTGGCAAAGAGATTTTTAATCATAAACTGCCACTAAACTTAACTACTTTTTTTGCACTCATTAAGATATTAAGATTTTCTCCTTTATTCTTTGAATGAGGTATATTATGCTGATTTTTGACTGTTAGATCAACCTTGTACTCTTAGAATACCCATAATGGGAAATACTTGGTCATTTGTTTCTTCACACATCTTTTTTTGCTTCATTCTCTTACCTTTATTTCTAATTCTAATTACATATATATTAGACCATTTGATATCATCCCACAATTCTTGGAGGCCCTCTTTATTTTCTTTTATCTGTTTTCTCTCTATTCTTGAAATAAGTTACTTTCTATTGTCCTCTCTTCAAATTCACTAACTCTAACTCTTTCACTCCTTCATCAGCTATCTCTAATCCACTAAGTCCATCCAGCAAATTGTCCATTTCAGTTATTTTACTTGCGGAGGCAGAGGAGCACTCACCCCTCCGCCCCCCAAGATGTCCATGCCCTTCATCCCTGAAACTGGTGAATATGTTACATTATAACATGTCAAAGGAACTTTGTGGATATAACTAAGGTTTTGTACCTGTATTATCCAGGCGGGTACACTCTAATCACATAAGCTCTTAAAAACAGACGTGGTGAAAGAGTACGAAGAAGAGATGTGTTAGAAGGGCAACTTATAGAGATTCAAATGCAGACTCAACACACCATTGTTGGCTCTGAGTGGTATGGGCCAGCATGTGAGGGACTGAAGAGAGGTCTTTAGTTGCTCATTAAAAGTATAAGAAAGAATGCAGGCAGCCTCCAGGAGCACAGACTAACCTCTGGCTAAAAGCCAGTAAGGAAACAGGGACCTACAACCTACAACTATAAAGAAAGGAATTTAGCCAACAACTTAAATGAGGTTGGAAACGGATTCTTCCCCCAAAACCTCCAGTAAGTAAGCAATGGCACTCTGCCAACAACTTGATTTTAGCCTCATGAGACCTATGTTGGACTTCTAAACTATAGATCTGCTAAGACTCTCATTACACATACATTAGGCTTTTTGATATTTTCTCCAGGCTACAAATGTTCTTTTCATATTTTTCCCCTTATTTTTCTCACCATGCTTCGGTATGGGCAATTTCTATTGATCTGTCTTCAAGTTCTCTAATCTTTTTTTCTGCTGAGTCTAATTTGCTATTAAGCCCTTCAAATAAATTTTTATTTCTTATAATGTATTTTTTAAGGATTTTTTTTTCTAGTTTCTACTTCTCTGCAAAATTCTTTACATTTACACATTTTGTTCATCTTTTCCACTAAATCCTTTAGTATTTTTACAGTAGTTGTTTTAAAGTCTTTGTCTACTGATTCCAGTGTTTGGGTTACTCGTGAGTCTGCTTCTATTAACTGCTTTTTTTCCTTCTGATTATGGGTCACTTTACCCTGCCTCTCTGTCTTTTTTAGTTGTTTACTAGACACTACTTGTAAAGGCAGAGACGGATATAAATAATATTTATTGCCATAAAAGTACAGATCCTTTTTTTGTTGTTAGCAGCTAATTGCTGATCCAGATCTAGACTTTGCTGCAGCTTTAATTAGATTCAGTTCTCTATTATTTACTAATTATGTGAAGGAGAGATCACGCTTCTTCTTTCAGCAGAGCTTTGGTACTGGACAGTGGCAGATTCTAGAGATATTTATCTCTGTGTTACACACACCTCAGCTTTCTAGCCAACATGAGAAATCTCTGTTTTAAAGTTCAGTCATAAGCCTTTGGGGCTGGGGAAGGAGGTCTTCTTTGCCCTCTATTTCCACCCACAGCTTACTATACCTCAAAAGATCTCCTTCCTCTTCCTGCCCTTCCTACAGCCTTTAAAAGACTGCTGAGGTATCCTTGGTAAGGTTACATATGTGCCTCAGACTTGCAGAATAATCTTGGGTAAATCATTAAATGCAGTACTTCAACATTCTTTTTTATAAAAATAAAAGGGTCAGACAAGATGGTTCTTAATGTCCCTTCTAGCTTTCATATTTAATTATCTGTATATTCTATAATCTATAATTATTTTTTGTTAAATATCAATTTGTTAATGTGTTATTAGCAATCATAATCTATTAAGTACACATACAAGAATGTACAGTGAGGTAAAAAAAATTCTGTTACTGGGAATCCCATGATTTTTTTTTTTTTTTTGGAAAACATCAAATTCATCTGTAAAGTCAGCACTGCACAAAAACTATCCATAGAGGAAATAAACTCTGAAGTGTACTGACTTGAAAATGGAAAATAACTCAGGTTTAGGTGAAGACACTTACCCATCTTCAGTTTCTTTTAGTAAGCGACTAGCAATTCGGATCAGCATGCAGTATGCAAATTGTGATTTGAGACCAGATTTAGTAAACTTATTCAACATCTTGGAAACAGCAAGCCGATCATTCTTTCTAAGGTGATACAGGACTCCCAATGCATGGTACTAAAGAACAAGAGAGAATGTATCATACAGATTAGAAAGAAGAAAAAAGACCTACATGAAAACAGAATCACATGGAACCAGATTAAATATTTTTAGTAAAAAAATACCCAAATTGGATGTATACAAGTAGAATATTTTTTCATACTGAACAAAACACAGGCAAGACTAAAAGGATGAGAGTTTCAAATTTACTCCCAGAAGTTGTACATTCGGACTGGACAAGCATGAAGGAGGTGACATCCAATCTGAAGACGGCTCTAACAGGTTCAACCTTGGGCCACATATCCTCAGTACAAAAGGCTGTCAGGTCCAAAGCTTTACCAGTGTCACAGGTCTCTTTTAGTAGCTTTTAATCATCTGTGGCCACATTATTAGGTAAAGGATTAATCTCCTAAAATAGGAGAGTGAGAGTGTTTCCCAAGGGAAAAATTACTACTTTGTTTCATAATTGAATATGCTAACATGAGAAGCTGTACATAGTGAAAGGGCATAAATAAATACCCTCTAAAATACTAATGGGGTACTTTATATAAAATTTTCATTTAAGAATTTAATCTTGTTCCTTTTAATAAGGAATATCTTAATAAATATCAAAAGGAGCCTGACAAAACGATTTCAAAGTTTTACAGAGTGAAAACTGCTCTTTATTTTTTTTATAATGCCTATAATCAAGGCCTTAAAAACTTGGAATTGAACATCATTTTACACAAATTATTTTTCAAATAAAAGACTGCAATGCATTGTGAAGGACCTCTGGAATGAGTATCTCAATCTACTACTGAAAATAAGAATCTTTCCCAAACATTCCTGAGGGGGGGGTGGGGGGGCAATCTACCACACACTTGAAGGGCCTATGACAATCATCATCATTAGTGAGATACCTACTTGAGAATGTGCACTAGTGGGCTGCTTAATATGCCAAAGAATTTGCTTTTAGTTAATGCCAAAGAATTTGCTTTTAGTTAACGCTCATCTAAGAAATCAATATATGTGTCCCTAAAATATAGGCTTAAATAAGCTGATCCTGACACATAAGCTAATGTGATTCAATGACAGTACCTGGACCATAATATTATCACTTGATGCAGCTTCTTGGGCTTCATTGATCCAGCGCTTAACCACATCATAGCTTATCTTCATCATGTGCTAATGAAAAAAATGAGAGTAGATACTGCATGGTCACTAGAAGTTTAGAAACATGAGTTAGTTTTCTTGGAAAATCACTAACAGGCATAACCACAAAGACTGAAAACTTTGTAGCTTTATAAGTCTATCTCAAGTTTCTGCTCCTGGGGCTCCTGATAAACCAGAAACATTTTCTCCAATATCCCTTTGCAAAGGTAAGTATATGTCTGTGAGCTGGCAGAGGTGTTTAAAGGAAGTAATGAGAGGGATGAACGGGAAAGAAATGGATAGTCAATAGAATGGTGCTTAGACAATGTTAACATTATAAGTTTTACTTCCAGGAAACTTCCCTTGAAGAAAGAAACAGTACCAACATATCCCCTGATACAAAACTCAACCAATTATATTCCAGAACCAGGAACTCTTGTGATTCAGATACCCTAATGTATTCACACATTAATTACTGACTTTAATCAATATGATATGGTATGAATAAATATTGTTTCAGGGAAAAAGAGAAAGAAAAGCTATTATTAAAACGAAGACCACTTTCTAGGAGGAAATTCAGAAGTGGTATAGGAGACTTCATTTTGTTTTGTTTTGTTTTGTTTTAGACATCACTTTGCTTCTGTGACAGGAGACTTTGGATTGAAGGACACATGCAGACACAGGGCACCAAGGAAAGCAGAGAACAAAGAGGCAAGAGGTAGAAGTGTTGGTCATAAAGGAAGACTTTAAAAGAGAACAATCCTCAGTTTTTTCCTGGTCCCTTGCCTCACCCTTACCCCCATCTTTATTATGTGTACAGCATAAATTTCAGATTCTCAAAACCTTTCAAACATTTGAAAATTTCATGTTTTTAATGGCTGGTTTTAACTGCTCAGTGCTCTTCCAGATAAAACACACTTGGATAAAGTAATAGATATGTATACATATTTTTTAACTGTTTCATTTGTTAGAGAATCATAGTGATACTGTGTTTTTTGCAACTAGAAACCATGCCTAAGAACTAGGCAGCTGCTCGCTCACTTACTAAGGAAGATACCAGAGCTGAACTGGATACACTGGAGACTTTATCCACAATGGCCTGCTTCATGTATCTTTCAATGGCTTGCAACATTGTTCCCTAATAACATTCAAAAAGAAAAAGCTGTTGAAGCAAAACATTTATTTTCATGTAAAATTACTACTTCAAAAAAATTTACAAAAATCAGTCATATACTTGTTTTTGTGCAAATATTTAAAATGCATTAAAAGGTTTACCATATAAACAATAGTAATATCCTAGACGGGAGAACCCAAACAATTGAGTGGAAACTTCAAGAAAGAACATTTAACATTATACTAGTAGGTAAGGAAGAATCTATTCAATAATGAAATGAACTGTCTCAAAGTGGAGAATCCCAGTTTGAAGGAAATATACAAGCAGAGGCTGAACCTATCAGGAATGTTATAAAGAAATTTCTATACGGGGATGGAGGCTGCTTTTGGAAGTCCTAACATTGTCTCTACATGAAAGGCATATACGAGGGTACTTAGAAAGTTCACAGAAAAAGAGAATCAAAGATAACATGAATCTTTCCATGAACTTTTTGAAGACCCCTTGTATTATATATGGACCTCAGAGAGTCCTATAAATCAAATGTAATCATGATTGTCTTAGATACATAAGAAATTAAATGAGTAATATACGACTGTAGTGAGTTCTCTACATGAAATCCTCAGGAAATAAAGTTCTTTTTAACTTTAACAAGAAAAAGCTTAGCACTGGGAAGGTGGTGGCAGATAAGGATGAGTAAACAGACCAAGATCAATATTCAGATGGCAAAAGAGTTTTATCATTAGCACTGGTATGGTCAAGTATTAAGCTACAAACTTAATGCTAAAAGCAAAAAGAACCAAGGGCTGGCCCGTGGCTCACTTGGGAGAGTGTGGTGCTGATAACACCAAGGCCACGGGTTCAGATCCCTATACAGGGATGGCTGGTTAGCTCACTTGAGAGAGCGTAGTGCTGACACCACCAACTCAAGAGTTAAGATCCTCTTACTGGTCATCTTTTTTTTTTTTTTTTTTGAAAGAACCATAACAAAATAACAGGGCACCAAAAAAATATTAAACAATTTCTATTACTCCTTCTAGGATCCAGACTTACCAGATTTACAATCTGATCCTGTTCAACCTTTAAAACTTAAGAAGGCTGCAAACACACATATAAAATATACCCATGTATAATACAACTATTATTTTATTTGCTTGGCAATGCCCAGCCTGCCCTTCATTTTAAGCTCTTCTTTGGAGTTCCTAGAAAGGGACAGCCTAACATACTATGAGTGTACTTCAAAAAGTTTGTGGAAAGAGTCATATTACCTTTTAATTCTATTTTTCCATGCACTTTATGACGTATTCTCATATATGACTCATCCCTCC